ATCTTGAATCTATGTTTGTTGCCACGAACGATGATCTTGAATTCAACAGGCACGAACTTTGATTTGAACTCGCACTCTTTGAACCTTGATTTGTTCTTCGTTCTTGAGCTTGAACTTGATTTGTTCTTCGTTCTTGAGCTTGAACTTGATTTGTTGAACTTGAACTTGATTGCTTGAAGCTTGAAACTTATGGAGGAATTTGCGGTGTTTGATCCACGAGCTTTCTCTTGCTTCTTGTTATAACTTCTGGTTTTTTTTTTCTGGGTTATGAAGACCCCTATTTATAGTTGTGGGAGGGAGGAGTCATGATAAGAGCAAACTCTTTCCGAACAATCAAATTGAAGTGTGACATGGCCGCATTTGATTGGCCAGAACATGTCACTTGCACACGTGGCTCGATTTCTTTGGCCTTTCAGTGTGACTGGGCATGCCTTGTCATTTTGACACGTGGCATGGTCCTATTGGCTCTTCCGCTTGACTTGGCGCGCCATGCCATTTGACACGTGGCACCAAACTGGCCTCTAGGAAGATGACAACTTGGGCTTAATGAAATGGGCTCATCACTTTAGCTCAATTAAATGGGCTAGCCCAATGGATTAACTTATTTGTTTAATCCATATATATTAGACTTATATAATTAATTCAATTATATTAACCCATATTATTTATTTGGACCAACATTATCTTGAATGTAAAATATAGTTCAAATAACTTTATGGATTTAAATCCGATAAAATTTAAATGCTTACATAATTATTGTAATAATTTATAAATATAATTTAAACTCTTTACTAATCCTCTCTTTTAATGTATTCAAGCTTGGACTTTGAACTTTCAGTGGTCAAATATGTTTTATAGCCCATAAAAATTAATAACTCAAATAAAGCCCAAAGCAAAATCAAATTAATACTAATGCTAACAAAAAAAATTCAATTCAATACTAGAAATGACAATAGTATTGGATTTGTTTTTTAGTTTTGCATTGATTTAGATAGTGAAAATGCATAACTCACTTTTTATATTATTTAGTATGTAATTAATACGTAGTACTTATTAGTCATACTTATTTTAACATGACTTAGGACTTTTAGATTATGTTTACTTTTATTATGGCTTATTAATTAGTAATATTTATCTTATGCAATTTGTTGAGTATTTTAGAATAATCATGACTCATCTCACATTATTTTGTATTATTTTATTGGGTAACATCTTATATAGTTTTATCCTATTAGGACCTAAGAAATATTAGAGCACAAATTATAAATTTTATGCTATGAAGATTTTGTCGGAAAAAACCCGAAAAACCCGAGAAAACCGAAAAATTCGAGAAAAACCGTGATTGAAAAACCCGACTTTTGTTGGTTTGATTTGGTTTATAAATTTAAAAATCCGAGACAATTGATTTGGTTTAGTAATTGAAAAATCCAAAACAACCCGGCCTATGTACACCCCTACTTCCGCACAGCCTTTACTTTCCCTTATGCTTGTTGAAACATTAAGTTTGAGTGTATTTACTTTACCTTAATGTAGTCATAGAATATTGAGATATGACGCAACTAAGAACGAGTTAAATGTGTTAAGTAGGTTAGCTTAGTGTAGTGAGCCCTTAAGCACAGGTCAAGTTAGTGACAACTACATCAAAGTTCTGCCAAACAACCAACAGGTTAACGTTTCGTCAGAGAATTTGAGAGGTCGGATTATTATTTGGATTCTATAGAACACACCACAATTGAAAAAAAAGTTTAACTGCATCCGCCAGGGCCGATTCAGACTTTTTAAGCGACGGGCACATTATTCTGCTCAACCAGTGGCCCTAAGAGCTTGGTGTTCAGGGTGTCAACTGCTTTAAATTAACCATTTTCAAGGTATATACGTGTATATATACCAGATTTCGACCGAAGTTCACGGGATCCGGTGACCTCTCATCCATACACAGGGGTCCGCCTCTGGCATCTGCATTGAAAATATTAGATTCGGATGAACCCATTACTGAAGAACTGCATCCGCCAAAGTAGAGTGTCCGATGTTTGCCTATTTCTTTCTTCTTATATTTCCTTATATGAGGGGTTCGAGAAGGTTAAATTCTCATGTACGGTAACACAAAGGTTTGATCAGATTAAAGTAATTGAGCTGCAGTTTATTTTGTAACTCACTTGTTTGACAGCATGCAGTTTAGAATATTAAGGAAAACAACAATGTGTCATGGTATTAAAATGTTACCAACTTATAGTTATGCTGAACCGAATCGATTACAAATAACAACAATAATCTCACAGGTGAAGTCTGGGGACAGTAGTGTGTACGCAGACCTTACCCCTACTTGGAGAGGCAGAGAGGCTGTTTCCAATAGACCCTCTGCTCAAGATGAATAGATTACAAATATGAGGCTTAATTGCAAATAAGTCATAATAGACAGACCAAAGATCTAGATTCTACATATTCTTCAAAATCAAATCATCTATGCATTCACATTTTTCTGTCCTAGCAAATAGAAAGAAATACATTTTAATAAACTCTAATGGTCATTGATAGCCTCTTTCTTGGGAATAAAAAAACACCCAATGGGCAGAAATCTTTTAAAAAAATACCACAGAGATGATATATAGTAAACATTGTTTACTAAATTAACCTGTCCATTTCTTGATCACTTGCAGTAAAATCTCATTCCATGTATCAATAGGACCTGGCAAACACCAATGAACACAGTCATTCTGTACGCGTTCCTCGACTCCATTAGCAAATGGAAAAGGATGCATATAAGGTCCAGGATGACCATCTGGCCTTAGTAATGCTAATTTTGTCACATCAACTGCCTCAATTCTTACATTAGACAGATTCTCCGCTTCCTTTTTCGCAGCATTCACTTGATTTATCGCTGTTTCTCTCATCTGCGCGTCCATCCATTCGAGCTTTTTCTCCTCTGGATTATAAGGCTTTGTTTTAGGACATGCTCCTAACTTGTCCCATTCTCCTTCAAAATGTGCTGGTGAAAATGTTGTCACAATCACATCAAGTACTCCTCTATTACCCTTATTATTATTGCCTCTCCTCTCAATTATTGTGTTAAGAGTAGTCCGATATGCCTTGCCATAAACATCATAAAATCCAATTTCAGTGTAATTCTGACCAGAACAGTAATGACAACCTAGTACTGAATCTCCATAGTAATACACTGCTGAATGCAAGAACCAATGTCCCACAGACAAAACAATCATATCCAGTTGCCCTAAATCAGAAGCCCATTTCTCATCTACAGAGTCCAAGAACAAAGTATTATAGTTTTTCTTGTCTGATTTTTCAATACCTTTAACAAGAAAAGGTGACCAATATATTGATACATTCACATTATGTGAAGGAAAATGCCATTTCCTAAACTTATTATCCTCACCATGACTGAAGACTAAATTAGGAGGACTAACTGTGGCTAACATACAAAGTAATGACTCCAATTGATTTCTCGCTAAGGAATCACCAACAAAGGCTAAATTCTTGTTGTTGAGAATTTGAAGAAAAGATTTTGGGTCAAACCTGGGAAGTTGACAATTTTTTGGCTTCCATTTCCAATAAAGATAGCCTTTATCAGGTCTTCCATGAGGTATGCAATTTTGTCCTTCTTTTACTGTACCACATTTTGTATACAAAGGACCTAATTTGTCATGAACCCACTTGCCATCACTATAGTCACATGAATTTTCCACATTATCATTTCTCACTTCTGCAAAAAATAAATAAATATAAGTTCTGATGTAAAAACATTATCAACAAATGTGTATGCGAATCTTAGAAACATATATTACAAGAAAGAACAAATATTTGTAAAGGAGGGATCAATCCTTCACAAAAATTTGATGTAGGAATAAATCTTCGCGTATTTCATCCATATTAATGAATATCACTATATAATTGGATGTATCCGTCATAAATATTCCGTCACAAATAATATGGTGCTTATGCTTTCTTGAGCCGAGGGTCTATTGGAGACAACCTATTTACCTCCACAGAGGTAGGGGTAAGGTCTGCATACACACTATCCTCCCCAGACCCCACGATGTGTGATAATACTGACTATGTTGTTGTTGTAAATATTTCATCACAAATATGTCTATATATAAGAAAAAAATGGCATGTTCATAATGTACCTTTTGATGGAATTGAAGAAGAGGTGGTGATGATTAGTGAATGTTTAGTTTGAGAAAGAGAGAGAGGTCCAATTAAGTGAAATAAAAGTATTATAGGGAGAAGAGCATACAAAGCCAAAAGTAATAACTTCCTCAAGGGAAAATGATGAGGTTGGTCTTTGGATGGATTAATTGTATCCATTTCTCATTCCTAACCTTAAACTTTCTTCCTTTTCCCTTAAAAGAAATTTTTACATAACAAAGGATCAATGCATTGTCGATAGGAGAAAGGAATTTGGTTTTTTTCTTTTTTCTTTTTTTAGTTGAAAAGGAAAGCTTTAATTTTGTGGGAGGATTTAGTCAAAGTGGCGACGAGGATCCCATTTTATTTGGTTGGCCAACCAAATTTTTACTTTTACTTCATTTCCTTTCGTGGTGAGCTGTTGTCTTCAAACAAGTGGTGCAGCTACCTTTTCCATCCCTTTTTCATGTATTGGAAATTTTAAAGTACACATTTTTCCTAATTAAGATACTTAAGTAAAGGATAAAAAAAAACAGCAATAAGGGAGTGAAACATGGTAACAAAATATATTAGCAAATTATAATTATCGTCCCCCTTACATTTGTCATACGACAAGAAATAAAAATGATAGCCCTACATAATGGATTTCAAGAAACATTTGCCCAAACTTATCTTAATAATAACTCAACGAAGAAAGCCAAAATTCAGCAAAACCAGTATTCTCACAGCTTTCTTAGGATTTGTCAACCAAGCTTCTTTCTGCATGATCCCATATTGGGTTACAGCCCTTTGATTTTACCATAAGAATTCCTACCATATGTAGCCATCAACAGTGTTTTATGAATGTGACAAATTAAATGGAGAAATCATTATTCACAGATCAAAAAATCATCAACAAGATTCTAGTGCACTTATCAGTGGAAGCTCTTGCTCGATTTAGATCCGTCTGTAAATCCTGGTGTTCTCTAATAGACGATCCAATTTTCATGAACGCGCATAGAATTAACATGGAAATTGTTAGCAGAAAGTTGAGACTTTTCCAAATTGTGTATCAATTATATCCTAACGAAGGTCTTAGATCTTGGTGTTACGCTGGTAGTCCAAGTGAGGAGCTTATTCATCCTGGTTTCCCTATAACTAACACTAAGCCATGCACGTACGTCTTGGTTGGCTATTGTAACGGTTTAATTTGTTACCTTACAAATTTCTTGCACGGTAAAAAAGAAATCAATTTGTGGAATCCTTCAATGAGAAAATGCAGGACGTTGCCTGATTCTACCTTCTCTCCAGAACGTCAAAGGCACTCTCCTAATTTCGGATTCGGTTTTGACGGTACGACCGATCACAAATTGGTAAAAATTACTTACATTGACGATCGATTAAAAAACGAAAAGAAACAATGGTCTGAAGTTGAGGTCTACAGCTTAAAACAAGATTCGTGGAAAAAAATCGGTGACTGTTTTCCTTCACAATATTATTATGCCCGTGGTGACACGGTGTTTTTCAACGGATGTATACATTGGCTAACGCAACGCGAATTCGGCAAAATTAGGCCTAGGAGATTGCCAATACTTTCATTCAATGTGGCAAAAGAGGTGTTTCAGGAATTTTGGTTGCCAAATCCTCACGAACGAGAAGCCAATTGTATTAGTCCGTTGCACGGATCGCTCTCTGTTTGTGCAAAATCGAGTTCGTCTGTTGATAACTGTCTCGATATCGAGGTATGGTTAATGAAAGAGTACGCGGTCGAAGAGACATGGACCAAGTTGTACGTGACAAGGTTGGACGAAGAATTGTCTGGTCCTATAATTCCATTGCGAGTGTTGGAAGGTGGTGCAGAGGCAATAGTGTATATAAATAAGAATGTGTTTTTATATGATCCGAAAAATGAAGAGTTTGAGGATTTTGGTATTTGGGCAAATGGAATAGGAGTTCCTTATGTGACTTCTTATATGGAGAGTTTGGTTTGGGTTGAACCAGTTGTGGTTGAGCCAACTACTCAAGCTGAACCTGAGGTTAAAATTGCTAATATGGAAATAGAGGCAGCTGCAAAGCAAGAAGATACAACTAGCAATAAAGAAACCAAGGAAGTAGGTGGTAAGCAAGACAATAATTGTCACATCCTATGAGATGATTTCTATGTTAATTAGTATATTGTCAGGGCAATTATGTTGTATTTTAGGATTAATGTTGTTGTAATTACATTAATTAGTGAAATTCAGTGTTGGATTTATGGAATTTTCTTTCTTTTCGTAAGATNACATTTTCAATGTAACACTATCAAATCAATTGCCCTTTGAGAAATCTATTATTTACCAAGATATATTGATGATAATTGAATCAAATAGTGATGAATAATTTAAGGACTCAATTAAAATATATTATTTTTAACACGAAATGGATTCTTACACTAAACAAAAGAAAACTATCAATCAAACTAGAATGTAAAGGTAAAGAACTATATTAAAAGTGCAAACTATTAACATTTACCATAAATTTTTTGAAACTTTGTATAACAATATACATATATATAGGTGTAATAATAAATTTGAATAGCTACTCATATAGTCGGCTTGGTTCGGTTTTTTTCTGATTAAAACCAAAACCAAACCAAATTTGATCGGTTTTTAAAATTCAAAACCAAAACCAAACCAAACCAAAAAGTATCAGTTTTTTTGGTCGGTTTGGTTCGGTTTTTCGAATTTTTATGAACACCATGCTTTAGATCACTTTGAAATACCTCAGTTTTAAGTCTCGTGTCCTAGCATCTCAAAAAGTAGTACTGGAAACACATAGTTGATGAGCAAAGTCCCCTCCTCTACATTAAGCTAGCGTTTGGCCATAGATTCTCAAATTTATTTTGAAAAATCTGATTTGGGTGAAGTTTGATTTGAAGATGAAAATGTGTTTGGACATCAGTTTTCAAAACATATTTCCCAAATTTATTTTGGAAAAACATGAAACATGACTTAAACCCACAATTTCTAAAAACTATCACAAATGCCCAACAGTACCATTATCAATAACATTCATTATTTTATCGCAAACTATAGTCCTGAATATAAATAAATTTGGTACAAAATTATCATTTTTATAATGAACTACATGATACACTATCAGATAACCGAGAAGACGAAACAACATTGTTACAAAATAATAAATGGTGGGCTCTTTTATAGAATACAAAAGTTTGGGATAATTTTTAAAGAATGTAATAGTGATATTTTGGCCAGCTGGTTTTGGGATTTAGGATTTTGCCAAAATATAGCCAAAATCTATGGACAAACATGTGTTTGCTAAATAAAACCCAAATTTATGTTGGCAAAATCTATGGCCAAACGGGTCCTAATTCTTCTCCGATCACATTTGGGAATCTTAAATTGGGCCACCTTTAGGTCCAATCTATGGGCGATTTGCACAAATAAGAATATTTAGTGCTACCTTTTAAATTTTGACCCCGTTAATTTTTTTTTGGAAAAATAGCCTCGCCCAAGAGTAAAGCACACTATCAAAATTTTGAAGCACGCTGTCAGAATTGATAGCATTGTGGCTGAAATTTCTGGTAACATACTTTAAAATTCTAGTGGAGGCCTATTTTTTCATTATTTTTAATGTGGTCAAAATATAAATGGTAGTTTTTAAAAAAGGTCCATCCAACATAATTTATTATAATTTCAGCGAACACCAATACTATAATTGATGAGGGGGGAAAATACACACTTTGTAAGGTATATAATTGAATAACGAAAACTTGGATGAAGGATTTGGTAATTCCAAATTCATTGTTGAAGAAAAATATCACATTTGGAACAATAGGTAATTAAAGGGTGTTTTTTTTGGGGTGGGGATACGTTTGCATTATATTGCCAAAAACAAGCAATCACCTCCGCATCCAGAAAGGGCTCCATTTGGATGGTTGATCGTTGTTCTTTGACCTTCCATCCATCCCGTCTCGTTAGCACTATCAAAATAGTAACAGAATAAAAGTAACAAGACAATATCATAAATTTTTCATAAAACAAATTGACCTACTTAATATGTGGTCAATTCATGTAAGAACAAAAATATAAGATGATGAATATAATTCTCCCTGTTTTTTTTTTTTTTTTTGTGGTTTACTTAAATTTTTAGTGAGGGAGATTCCAATTTTCAAACATAGTTTAAATTAAATGATTATAAATTCAGATGGATCATACCTCACTATAGCGAGCCTCCTCATTTCATGATTATAAAACCTGCCACGAGACGAATTGCACCAATCAAATAAGGGACTATAAACAAATATGACATTGCACTAAGAGTCGTAAATTAATGAGAGACTGTTCACTATTTAAAAAGGGGCGGATGCACGTTGAGCAAAGCGATGTTACGCTACTTTGTTGAATTTTTATTTTATTTTATTACTACTATTAGACATACTCTTATTTATTGCATAAGTAATTCTCCCTGCCTTTTTGTGGTTGTCGCAAATTCTTAGTTCATTTTTCATCTATATATATATATATATTACAGATATTAGGGTGCAAGTTTATTATAAAATAAATACTATAGGAAAAGAGAGAATAGGAAAAGTTAGTCAGTATAATAAACCATGTGGCTCAACTCTACCTCAAGTCAAGATCTAAAGGAGCTGGCACGTTGAACGGACTGATTTAACTCATACTACCAACTAGGTCTAACATTTTTTTTTTTTGAGGTTTCCCATCCAAGTATTCAGTATCTGCTTTGAGGCACGATTAATCTGAATTTGTACCGAAAATTTTTATATTCCGTTTTCAATCAAAGACAATTTCATACTCGGTGCTCGAATGTGAAATCTTTAGTTAAGAATAGATAAGTACTTACCACTCCATCACAACCTTTAATGGTGCGCCGGTGGTCTAATATTTTCTTTCTCGAATTTCAAAATACTGGAAGTTTTTATTGCTTAAAGTGTGTAGTTTTGACCCCTCTTTACCCCATCTGTTATACCAACAGTAGTTGTAGAAACATTTCCCCTTAAAGTACGAAACAAATCAAAATACCAACTTAGAACACAAGTAATTGCTCCCCTCACACCTTTCTTTTTAATTTATCAAATGCATGACTTATTTTCTTTTTGAAATAATTTCAAGCCTACCTTTAATTAATATTATGATTTATGGTTACGATCAGTTTTAACTTTTAAATTACAAATTTCAAAAGTCTTTATTTTATCGTGTCATCAAACAATTAATATCACATAAAATTGTGACACAGATAGAGTTATCATGAATTTATTTTGTGTTTTCCGTCCGATGTCCGGTACCCGCATTAGAGCCTGACTATATTCAGATTCGTGTCGCGTAGGGCCCCATTCGGGGGAAGCGCTGCCTACCAAGAATTTTTCATACCCAAAGCTCGAACTCGAGACCTCTGGTTAAGGGGAGAGCACCACATCCTTTGGTAGTGATCGCATCATGATTTAACAGTAAGCAATTCCTTACTAAAGTTGTGAGAGTACTTCGCAAATTAAATGAATGGAACAATATAGCATATAATAACTGCATACAGAGTCAAATTACTGTATTTAACCAGATACCATAAAAATCATAACAAAAAATATGAATAATTAAGGACCAAGAAAACCCAACTTGTCATTCTGCAAAAAAACTGTGGTTTCTTTATAAAGCAAAGTAAATCGGAGAGATAAGAGGAAGTGTACCAGCGTCCAGTTCTGTATGCAATGTAACCTGCTGTAGTATAGACTGGAGCCATAATAACTGCCATTACACCATCAAAGACGATAAATGCAAGTCACTCATGATTTAGAAAATAATCAGATCAACCACGGATATTTATCATATATACTAATAAATAAAACTTACGAGTTCGTATTATATTTTTGATGAGATTGTTCCCAAAGTCAGCCATCTTTGGTGTCTCTTCAGCAAGCAAACTTCAAGCAGCGAGAAATTGGAGGAGAGGAGAGAGTTGGTGGAAAAAAGTGTGCGTGGTGCTTTTGGCAAGGAAATTGGGGCAAAGAAAAGGCAGGGATATTGTTTTATTTAATACTAGTAAAAGATTCATCAATAAAATTAGGGTTGTTCATAAAAACGGAATAATCGAACCAAACCGTAAATCAAACCAAATCGACCAAAAATGGGATACTTTTTAAGTTTGGTTTGGCTTTAGTTTTGAATTTTAAAAATCGATTTGGTTTTGGTTTTAATAAAAAAATAACCGAAAAATTCGGACCAAACCGACTATAAAAGTAGCTATTTTAATTTATTATTACACCTATATATATATATATATTTTTATATAAAGTTTCTAAGATTTTATGGTACATATTAGTCGTTTGTATTTTTAGTTCAGTTCTTTGCTATTATAATAATCTAATTCTTTGCATTTACATTCTAGTTTGATTGGTAGTTTTCTTTTGCTAAGTACAAGAATTTATTTCATGTTAAAAATAGTCGATTTTTAATTAAGTACTTAATTATTTATCACTATTTGATTCAATTAGCCTCTTTTGCTTTTGCATTTGTATGTTGAAATCGGGCCCATCTACTGCATGACAGATCGGGCTTAAAATGTAATGAATTGAAGATCGACCCCGGGGTTCTATCGAACTAGGGTGCGAGGTTAGAAGACCAGTCTTTGAGATTACCGAGTCTATGACCCTGGAATCGACCCCGACTCCGTTTGAGCTCGAGGAAACATTGTCGGACAAGATAGCAGAATGCCGAAATATCCGTAACCGGTCGGATATCACGGCTGGAATCTCGGCATGTATCAATGAGATACCGGTTGATTAGCAAATCATGAGATTTTTTACTTTTTATAGAATTGTACCTAACGTAGGATTTTCCTACTATATAAAGGGGATCTGATTATTTGTAAAACACATTGTATCACGCATCCCAAAGCATTATGATATAATTTTCTTCCTGCAAGCTATTGTTCTTCTGTATCTGATATCATTTGAATTACATCCAGTTCGAGCGAGACTTACTTTTCAAGGTTATAATTGTTCAAGGCATACGATTTGAATTTACTTTATTATTATTCGCATTATTTATAATTCAATTTATCACTTTGTGTCAAGTTAACCCACATATCCTAAAAACCACTTATAAATTCAATTGTTATCCGATTTTGAGGGTAA